TGGGTTTTTTTATTCAGAGAACCTTTGTTAATTGGCAACGTTAAGAAAGTGGTGTACATAGATTTGGAACAAACTGAATCAGTTTTATTGCCGCAATATCACTGTTATGTCTCAGCAGTGTCCATGAATGTCTTTACAAGTAATCCAAAGGCTCCACGGCAAAAGCTTACTCTTAACACTGATGTGAATTTAACAAGGAAATGTTGAAGTTTTAGGAAAATTCAAACCGTTATCAAAGTGAGTGCACCATAATTTCCTCAGGATATAACAAGTTTGCAAGGGAATGGCCAATTACTGTTACAGCTCCACATACCTAATTGTATTTCCTTCACTGAACCACTAAAACAACTGACAAAGAACAATACCATCTGGACCTGAGAATATAATCACCAGACGTGATTTTGCATAATAGCAATACAAATAATTTGCCTGACATTTACATTTTGCTATCAAACTATCAGATTTTTAAAAATATATTTAGATAATCAAATCATGTATGTGTTGTACATACATATAAACAAACACAATTTTCTAGGCTGACAGTTTAAAAAGATAAAGTCTTGAACATAATGGTGGGTTGGCATAGGCTCTTTCACTTAAACTTTATTATATCACTATGATCAGGGCTTGAAAAATTTGATAGTGTCTCATCAGTCAGTCAAAAATGTCACCAGTCAGCATGACCGGACTATAGCCTTGCAATTTATGTTAAAAAAGTTTGGGGACAGATAGAGCTTTCTTTTGGAGGTATATAATCACCACGGGGGGGGGGTATTTTTTTTTTTCATTTGCTGGGCGTTTTACAGCGCGTTGATCAGCACTGTAAAACGCCCAGGTGTGAACCCGGCCTTAATGGCTCTAAAATTATTGCTCTCACTCCGTTTGCGGCAATATGCAACATGTGCGGCACGTAGGCGCACCTGACGCATATATGCGCGTGTATGTGGGGGGCGGGGACTTAAAAAAAATGTTTTTTTAAATGTTATGCTTCTTTATTTTTTTAATGAATCTTTCATTTTTGTATAACTTTTTTTTTTTTTACACACACACAACTTTATTGTTATTACATGTGGGGGCTAAGAATCCCCCTATGGGATAGCCAATTTGCATGACAGGTCCTCTTTATGGAGACATCAGGGGTCTCCAAGACCCCTAATGTCACCTAAGGACCTCCAGGGAAGCTGATGAAGCAGAGATCGGCTTCATCGGCTTCTCTAGCTGGAGAGTGACACTGAATGCAGGAGGTGATGTTATATACATCACTTCCTGCATGCGGGGACTGAGAGGAGATCAAAGGGAGTTCGTATACTGAACTCCCTTTGATCTCCTGTCATAGAGCCGTGCCGGTCCGCATCGGGCACAGCGGATCTCGGGACCGACAACGGCAGCTTGACTGTAAAGCTCCCGGGAAGCTGCTCGTTGGGCTCCACCGTCCTCTCGTCACGGACGAATGGATTTTTCAAGCCCTGACTATGATATAGGGGCTAATTTATAAGCCTGCCTATGTTTCTTAGCATCATCAAGTGGTGGTAATGCTGTGTCCCAGTGCTTTATGCTGGGCAGAAGGGCTGTAAATCAACCCCTAATGATGAGTCTTTTCATTTAATCTTTTTTTTCCATCTATTTTCCCATTTCCTGTCTGTAGTGTACTATCCACCTTGTTATTATATGACTTTCGCTTATCTCAAGGTTTCCTTAGTTTCATACTGATACACCATCTTGTTTGTATGTTCACAGAATCACATTCTTAGTCTATTATTGTTACTTCTACGTCCGCCATCTGTCTTAAAATGATCTATGTGATTTGTATTATTTTTGGCCTACATAAATGCTTTTACTCTCAAAATAATTGTAGTAATCCAGTGTGGATCAGGTCTTCCAGCAAAGTAAATAATAAGAGTATCTGTTGGCTGGGATCTGTCAGTGTTCTTTGTTTTCTGTAAAGTCAGAGTTGCGATCCTTTCAGAGACTAGTTGACTCTTACTGGAGCACCAACAGACACTTTGTAACTGTTTTATAAGTAACTTTTGTGTTATTCACATTAGTGGTTTTGGCTGCTAGTTTAAAGGAGAACTATGAGGTGAGTGCTTTTCACTCACCTCATAGTTCTAGCCGACCTGTGACAATGAGACTGTCACAGGTCGGCTCAGTAGAACGGGAGGTGAGAGGACACATACCGGCGTTCGCTCACCTCCCGATCCTGTCACTGCTCTCAGCCGTGACGGGGGAGGGGCTGGATTCCCCCCTCCCCGATCCACCAGCGCTGACTGGAGGGGGCGGGTACAGCTGGCTCTGCCTCTGGATAGGAAGAGCCAGCTATCAGTCACGCAGCTGGGCGGATCCCGGCACAATTGTCGGGATCCGCTTCAGCTGCGGCGTCTCAGTATACCGCGAGCAGCTACAGCTCGCGGTATACTGAGCCTAGGGTGACGGGAGGACGCTAGTTTGTGTCCTCCCGTTACCCTAAGGAGAACTGCCGTGACAGGGGAGGGGCTGGATTCCCCCCTTCCTGCTCCGATCCACCAGCGCTGACTGGCGGAATGGACGGGGGAGGGGGCGGGTACAGCTGGCTCTGCCTTTAGCTAGGCAGCGCCAGCTGTCAGTCACTCAGCTGGGCGGATCCCGGCATAAATGTCGGGATCTGCTTCAGCTGCGGCGTCTCAGTATACCGCGAGCTACAGCTCGCGGTATACTGAGCCTAGGGGGACGCTAGTTTGTGTCCTCCCGTTACCCTAAGGAGAACTATGGGGAAAAGCCTTAACCCCATAGTTCTCTTTTAAAATATAGTAATTTAATACATAGAGTAGAAAAAACTATTATATAAATAAATTGAGAGGAGTGGACCTGACAGAACTTTATCTCTCGGGCCAGCCACTCTGCAGCAGCAATAGCCATCCTGCCATTGGCTAATTCAAATTTCAATAGCCAATAGCAGGATGGCTATTGCTCCGCCCACTGCCTGCTGTCAATCCACTGAGCAGGACCTGAGAGAGAAAATTATAGGATCAAGATGATTTACATCACTGGATGACCTTATCCACACTGGATTGACATTGTGGGAAATGTTTTTGTTTTTGGTTTTTAATTAAGGATTTGTCAAAAACCTGTGTAGTGTTTTTACTTACCATTTGTATTTACTTTAACAACTACCCCTTACTCATTCATGTAGGGGGGGGACAACATCTGGATGCCCCATTTATCAAAGGGACTGGTATGGATTACGAGGAGGAGTGCTTGCTTTTTTCTTTTATTTCAAACAATAACAACAGTTTGAATAGAATTAGGACATTTGAATGCATTTTAATTTTCATTAGGGAAAATTTGGATTTGTTTTTTTTCATTCGGCATTTGTTTCATTCGGAAATTCAGATGCGTCCGAATTCCCGTAAATTTGTCCAAATACAACAGGCATTTTAAATTCACTCCATTTCTATGTGCTGTTTTTTGAAGAAGTCTCTTTTTTCAGGAATGTCTACCGTAACCCCCAACCCTGAGGACTAGTTTTTGATTTGGGAATACAATCCCCTGGGTGGTCTACTTTATATGACTCTTCAGGGTTTCCTTCCCTTAACATTTGATTATCTATTTTCCACCTGCAAGCTGTCAGGAGCAGCATGTCTGTACATAAACATTTTTCTTTATAACAGTACTAAATTAGAATTATATGTATTTATTAAAATTTGAACCTCTTTTGATTTAATTTAGTCGTACAGTTTAACATCAGTCACTGTGCACTGTTGTTGCACCTGTTCTATGCCAGTAGCCTGATCTTCTGTTGGTATTAATATCTTACATATGTTAGTTCATTTTAGAATGTCAGATTTTAATTTTTTCTGTCTCCATCTGTGCAGTGAAGATGATGAACAGCTTTGTTTAATTTGTGGCTTTATTTCTTTGCTCGGATCAGTAAAATCATAAGTGGCTGAAAGCTTTACTAGTCTGTAATATGAATCTGGTGATTCCTTCTTCTTTGTGTGGTTGAGTATATTTTACATTTTGCAGAGATTCTATAAGCCAAGAGTTTACTTTGTTGTTGTACCAAAGTGTTCTTCAAAGGCCTGGCCATTATTTTGTATGCTTATTCCATCTCACATGGGTTGTAAACAGGAACCTTATTTTGATCCTCCAATCAGGTTGCACCCCATGTACATTTGGTAGTCACTATACAGAAAGGAGGAGATATAACGTATAGTTACCAAGCCATGTGCTCCCTTTTTCGCCAGTGTACATTGTCTTGTAAATAGTGTTTTGTGTGTTGTTTGTAAATAGTTAACCCTTCCAATAAATGTATATTGCTGATTAAGCTACTTCTTTTGTCCAAGAATCCTCAGGTCTAGGTGTGTTTATGTGACTACTCCTGCGGCGTTTGGAATAAATCATATACATATCTATTTAACCTTGTTAATAAAAGTCTGCCTAAATATGGGTTATTTACTATACCAGTTGGCGCATATGGTTTTGCCTCTCTAATGTATCACCAACTAATATTAAACCAATAAGTGTGCCATTCCAAATAGATTTAATTTACCAGGAATATTTTGGAGCCATTTTTTTATGGCTAGCCTAACCCAAGAAAGCTAGTTGAGCAATTGTTTAACACATTTAGGCAGATAAGTGAACTTGTAGCCTTAGGAGCATGTTAATGCTGCCAGCCCCAGCAGTATATACTGAAATGTTATTCCTGTGCTGTTGCATTTATCCCTTCCTGCCCTCACACTATTCTTCTGGGGGACTGGGGTTTAAAATTATCTTGCTGTTTTGTCCTGCATGATGAGATTTTGGTGTCTAATGTCCAGAATTCCTGGTACAGCATCAATTGCCATCCTCATAAACTGCAATTGTGAACATTATAATAACCATTAACAAAGTTTACATAATAATCATTTAAATGACATCAGTGATAAAAGCTTTGTATTCTGGACAATTTGATTAAAAAATGGAAAAATATTATTGATAAGCCAAACAGTATGGATAAGATGTTAAAAGGATTATATTCCTACCTGTCAGTGATTCCGCATAAATCAATCTGCAAATCACTAAAATTTCCAAGCAAACTCTGCTGCACTAAAATAAGGTCCACAATTCTGGAACCAATGGAAATTGATTTCATGCAACCCAAAAAGGTACCAACAGGCTTTTTACATACATGGTCAGTATTGTTATTCGGACATCCTGGAAAACAAAGACAGCGGAACAAGTGAAAACAAATAATGTTTCATTACAACAGTAATGCCTACTTGAAAGCAAGTAACTAATAGTAAAAAGCAACATTGCTAAACATAAATAAACAAAATGTATTAATGGCATCCACTTTTTAGATATATGAATGTTGTTGAGAGATCCTAAAGTGTAACTTTGTCAAATTACATTTAAACATTTACATATTTTTAGCAAGCAGTTAATGAGCTTTTTTAAAACAAATGCTTATTGATCACTGTTACTGCAGGCACTGTGGAGCAAATAATGCTCAGAATTTACAGCTAAAGCATTGAATTTCTAGTCTAAGCCAGTTTAGCTATTCCTGGCTGCCCAGAAGTGACTCAACAGCCTTCCAGCCTTCTAATCTCCAATGTAAAAACAGAGCAGGTGCTCTGGGAATGGGAATAGAGTGAGCTGAGAGAAGTGAATAAGCTTCTTTTGTAAATGTTGAAGATGAATTACTCCTCAGTGCCAGCAGCTATATAGATCATGTGCTGCTTGTTAAGTATATGTGAATACTTGAGTTTCAATAGCTTGGCCATTGATTTACTTAAGGTCTTTTTGATGCAATGTGAAATTGAGACAAATGCTCCAACATTATATGCTATCACCCAGTATACAGTGCCAGGCTTGCCTATCAAACATCATATTTTTTGCTAATTAGTACACACCAAACAAGGTTTATATTTATACCTATTTGTATCTGTCTTTCAGTCTACGTGCCTAAACACAAAAAACGGCATGCCTTACCTCCAAAGTAATAATTTCCTGCAGATGACACTTGAAAAGGTAGGAGCATATATAGATTTGCAGATGCATCATTGTCTACTGTTAAAATTGCACGGTTTCTTTTAATCACAAGATAAACAACATGCCATTGTCCATTATTTAATTCAAAAGCTGTATTAAAAACAACAGAATTCATTATGTTATTTACTCATATGACAAATAACTACTCATCATATCAAGGCATACATATAATTTTGTTTTAAACAATTCAAGCACCATTTCAGTAAATATGTGGCAGTTATATACATATTGTAAACAAAATGAGTGACCAAATTAAGTTAATGATGAGCCCCAAAAAAGATAAGCAAACAAAGGACAAAGGACTCAACAACAGTATTGGCTATAGGCTTCCTGTAGCTGATCTTTTCCCCATTACGTACTTACCATGTCTTGTTCTGCGCTGTGTCTGTGTGTGGGGGCATCTTGGTAGAGCAACAGGGTTTTGCTTCCTCGTGTCAGAGCTGCCCCCTGATTACTGCTAATCTACTGATTGGTGGGGAATATTTATGAAGCAGCAAAAGAGCTGCAAAATTCAAAGATCCACAGGATCTGCAAGTTCTCAGATACAGCTTTCGCTCCAGAAAGGAGAGCAATGAACTGACCAGTAGGGACATCACCACACCTCAAATCAAATTTTGTGAGGCTGGCAGTCACAGGAAGCAGTGATCTCACCCTGCAAACATACAGCTCTGAGGCTCAAAGCACAGGATGTGAACTGCTATTTTGTCAGGAGTAAATGAAGGCACAATGTAGATTTGCCAGGACACTGCTTAGGCACAATTGCCATTTTTAGATGTTCCCTACAAGAAATCATATTTCCACTTGTTTAGTTCAGGTTCACTTTAGCGTGTTAGTTAACAACTCTATATACATGAATAACATACTTTTATATATTAAACACTATCATGTATGTGCTAGCTATGTTGTTACTGTTCAATATTCCATCTCCATTTGGTGCCTCCCAGTCTTGCAGAAACATGGCCAGAATAGAACATAGAACACAGTGCAGTATTTTACTGTGAATATATTCAATATTTCTTTAACAAATAAAATACCAATGGAGAATAATGTTTTGGTTTTGAACACATGTTCTTTTTTTAAGACACTTGTTACATACAGGGGTTGGATTTAATTTGCCAGGATACTGCCAAGGCAAAATTAACATTTCTAGTTGAAAGAAAGTAAATCTTTACTTTTTGAGTTCAGGTCCACTTAAATGTGTACGTTAATGACAATATATACAAAAATGGCATGCTTTTATACAAATTATCATTACATTGTTTCGTTCATGTATGTACCCTCGTGTATGAAACTATGCTGTTACTCTTTCATGTGCCCTCTTCATTTGGAGCTTTCAAGTCTTGTAGACTCATTACTAAGTTTTGAGCTCCAAAATGTCAGTACAACCTTTTTCATTTATGTCTTATTGTTTGTTGCAATGGAATTAATCTAACCAGCAGTCTTACAAAAGTTTTCTCCTTAAAACAGTACACTACATAATGACCTAATTAGCTTAAAAAACACAAGTCAATTGAGTTAAAATAAAAATCACAAAGTCCAAGCTCCCATAATCCAAATCAATTTCAACAGCTTAAAGGTTATCTACCCCTGCTGAACCAAAACCAATAGCTAAAACCCCCATGCAAAGTTTTCTTTTTTGCTGTCTGTGTCATTTGGGGATATTTCCCTTCACTTCTTGTGCTGGAGGCACAACAGCAAGCTGTCTATAGTAAGGGGGACGTTTTCACTGCAGCCGGTAACATTTTTAATTATCCTTTGTCTTCTGCCCATGTGACAATAGTCCCCAGGACAACAAGGCAAATCTCTCCTGCGGCGACAAAGAAAGCAATAAAACCCACACAAGATTCTAACCCTTCCCAACTCTATTAATCACTAGGGAAATTGTTTATATTTTAAATGTACCTTAAAGTCTAAAAACCTAAATCTAAAACTACATATCCATCTACAACTACCCGGTTCACACGGTGAAAATTCAGCAATTTTTTTCACTGCAGAATGATAAGCATTGTCACCCTGCTAAAGGAAGTGGATCTATAGGCAGGATCAACATGAAAGATAACAAGGGGTACACAGAAAAACAAACTCCTGGGTTAATGTTATTGACAGAATGCAGAAGATACTGTATATCACGTTTGTTTTTGCCATAGTTCTACTTTGCCAGTTTCTGAATTACAGGTCAGGTGGGAGACGGTAATATAATGCTTACCTGTTATTGTGTCTAAGTACAGCCTTTCATATTTAAAAAGGCTCATTTTAAGCTTTCTTTCAGCAAGATATATTACAAAAATAAATGGAGCAGAGCTAAGCTTGGTTGAAAATAGTGTGCCTTCCTTGTTCCAAGTACGGAAATGAAAAGAGATGATAACCTCTTCTTGTATTGATAATCCAGGCAAGATCAAATAGCTGTTTGAATTTAGAAATGTAATTGGGACAACAGGAGGCTCTTGGCAGGAAAAAGAAATATTTCCCTAGAGGTTAAAAAAGAAAGTTAAAGCTATAAAGTATGTAATTATCAATTATTTACAGTCATGGTCAACACTAATATAATGATACCAGGATATAAGGTATTTAAATTAAATGAATAGCATGAAGAGCAATGCTCATTGAACCACTAACAATGTAGGTTTTCCAAAATTCAATGCAAGAGCACAATTGTATTAAATAGTATAAATTTAAAGGAAATTATAAATTATTTCACCAGTAAACAAACCTGAAAAACATGTCATGTTATTGTACTTTGCAGCTCAGCTCCAGTTTATCAATTTGTATGCCTTCAAACAATTGTATACAGAGTAAGAGGTCTATTTACAAACATTTTAATCCAAGATTCAAACAAATTTCAGGACTCATTTATTTTTCCAATTGAATTAATTTATAAAAATGTATAACTCTTGGGTGAATATTGTGTGAATTGTATGTTGAAAACATTTATAAACAGAACCAAAAAAAAATCAATCACTGTCTGCATTATTTTTTTTCTCAATATTCTGTATTATTTCCAGGGTGTTCAAGGGGGTTTATGCAAAGTAAAAACTAGCAAAAATGCTTGATTTTAGTCTGCTCAGGTATTATTTAGAAATTAACCCCAAATTCAATTTGGCAATGATTTTAAACATTTGTAAGGGTTAGAAAAAAGTTACAACAAACCCTCTAAGAGCACACTAAAGTAACAAAGTATTCTACCCCTTAGTTTGTTTTTTTACCTTGAATAAAATTACACATTTTACTTAATTTGAGTCATTTCCTTCTCTTACATGTTTGTGTAAAAGTATAGATTATAGTGAGGAATCGGTTATAATTATATATATATACATTAAGGCAGTTATATTTGCTTATTACATATGCAGGCTTCATCTTCTTGCTTTCAAGTAGTACACAATGGTTCTGTTTTACTGCTCTTAGTTAGATAATAACTCAACATCTCCATACTGTTGAGTGGGGTGGCTAAAGCTGGCTATACATAGAGTGAATTTTGGCCTGTTCTAGATAAACCAGCCAAAATGTTCTCAGTGGGTGGACCTGTCTCCCAGCTTCCGCCTAACATCTTTTGATTGAAAAAACAATAGAATCTGTTAGATTTTTTTTGCCCAAAAGCTAAACAAAAACAATGTAATAGTGTATACCCAGCTTAAGTGACTGCAGTGGCTGTATTTGCTATATACAGACCAAGTACAAAGGTCTCAGGAAGGGATAAATCACTATTTCAAGAACTGGAGTCAGAATATGCGATTTAATCTTACCTCAACATAGATTGGAGGTTTATACCTCTTGGTCAAGTCAATAATGTTCATACCATTGTAATAAAGGTTCTCAAAGCACCCATGAAAATTCTTCTGATGCAGTGATGCTGATTTTCCTTGTGAGGCGATACCTCCAAAGCTAAGCTTAGAAAGAAAAGACAAATCAATATAGCCATTAAGCTAGTTTCTTTGGTGTGTTACAGAATGTTGCAGCTACATTCTTAATTGAGCGTTTAATTACAGCAATCTATTTCAGGTCCTCCTTGTACTTAACAAACATTCTTCCTTTTTTTAAATTATAAATATGTTTGCCGTTCTTTGTTTTATTTTCAAATGGCTTCAAATACATTATCAATGCTTAAAATCAATGGTTTTTGTTGTATTTTGCAGGATTTCTACATGTTTCTGTTTTTCTACTATCTGCTGCTGCTGCCGGTCTTATCTTTTCCAAAACTGACAATAGCAAATTGTAGCTCAAATGTCAAGAGCTCAAACAAAGGCATTTGTTTGCGGTGATTACTTAGGGTTATAAAAAGTAGTTTTGATAATGCTGAATCATAATTCAGAGATGCAATAGAAGTGTACATGATAACAAAAAAAACACCAAAAAACACTCTATTTTGTAATATATTTCATACATAGTACAGTTAGTTTTAAATAAAAAGGTATAAATATTCATGTTTCATATCAAAGAGCAAAATGTGCAGTAACTTATAGCAACCACTCATAAAAAAAACAACATTAACTGATCTGCTTACTGTAGGCTGTTAAAATAACGTTATATTTGGATGTACACAAGAATCTGAAAATTCAGATATAAATTATTATAATTGTACATGCTAACTGTTAAGCATTATATGGCACTACTGGCACTACTGCTTGAGTATGAGTGATCATAGGTTACCTGTATTCTGACATTTGCTGCCCTGTGAGGTGCTTATCTTCGAGTATATCTACACCCAAGAGCACAGATGCAGCTAACCAGTTCCTCATATCGTAGCTGCATTATTTTCTGCAACTTTTTTAGTTTTTTTGTTCTCCCTTTTTTTACCTGGTGATCCTGCCAGTAACACACTTCATGTATTAAGATGGCAATACTCACATCTCTATAATGTGGAGGTATTTTGTAAATCACAGAAGAGAACTGGGAGTCAGCAGTGTTTCTCTCCTTGGCGGCCGGGAGCAGGAGACTCCTGGGGTGCCAGGGAGAGTTAGCTGTTTGGAGATCAGTGTCCCTGGTTAGCAGGTAACCAGGGACGCTGATCTCACTGCAAGTGGCCGGAGCCAGCCGTAAGATCATGGCTGGCTCCTCCCAGCTGTCAGAAGCAGGCTGTCGGTCGGCCAGCTTCGGCTTTCAGCGCGGCTCAGCCGAGCCGATGCATATGCGTTCGGCTCGGCCATGATCGGGAGCTGTACGCGCTATTGTGAATAGCCCGTACAGCACCCCTTCGGTTCTACTGAACCGAAGGGGTCCTGGGGCTGAAGCTAGCCGAAGGATCGGCCGAAGCTACGGCCAGATCCTTCGGCAGCTTCGTGAATTGACCCCATAATGTTTTCATCCACAGAGAAAATTGTCTATGTGCTGGCTTCCCCTGCTCAGTAGCTCCCCATAGATTTTTATGGGACTGTCGCACAGGTGTCTCCAAATCTGGGAAATAGCACCATAGAAATCTATTGGGCTCTACTGCAGAGGTGTGGAAAGCATAAAGAAGATTTCAATTGAAGGATGTTAACATTGCAGTAGGGTATGAATGTGGAATGGATTTTTCTTTACTCCTTTTTCTTTGCTAACAACAAAATGAAGCCAAAACAAAATTCAGTAAATGTTGTCTATTATTTACATAATTCTAAATAAATATGACATTTTAGTGAATATTTACCATCTAGGGAATATATATTTATATTTATGGAGTATGTTTATTAATGAGAAATAAGTTGTTCTCATAAAATGTTGCAAACAGTCATTTATGTTGCTCAGAAAAGCTATAAATGCATTATTTTGTTTATCTTGATTACTAAATAATTAATATCAATAAATATGTTTGTTAATCATATTTTCTAGGGGTTTTTTATACTTCGTCTCAATAAGCACGTTTCCGTTTCTAAAGTGTATTTATGTTTTTAGTGTTTTAGAATATATGAAAAGGCTTCACATTTAATAATCAACCTAAAAGCTGCTAAATGCACTAAATGTATAATAGCAGGCATCCAGTTGCATTTATTGATACATTATTTTTGTATATAATAAAATAGAAGAACAATTAAATACAATTATTGTCTTTATGACATTTTGTCTGTTTTGTGCAAAATGTGCCCCCATGTTGTGTTGTTAATCATGCTACCTCTGGACAGTTTTTGCATAGTTGACATCATATTTAGAAAACTTTATATATCAACAGATAACCCCAAAAAATGTAAAAAAATAAACAAAAAATACCAAAAAGGGCAACAAAATAGAAAAAAAGCTGTTTTTCATAATTTAATGTTTTATGATAGATTTTTAATCAAATTATGTGTGATCGTGATCATGCATACTGTGATTACAAAATAAACCAAAATTAATACAATGTATAGTAATGATTTTATTAGGTGTATTTTGTAAAAAAAATTAATAGAAAAAAAGCACAGGTAAGCATGCAAAAAAATGGCAACTTAAAGAAGTAGAATAAATAAATCAATCAATAACCCTACAGTATACTTGCTCTTAAAATATTTTATGACATTACAATATTTCACCCCTTTTTCACACCTAATGTGCAAAACACCTCAACTAACAAACTATATAGGATGACTCAGTTTTTAATGTAAAACAAAATCCTTTTAACAATTTGCAAAGTTTAAGACAGAAATATGAGATAATGCAGTCTAGCAGAAGAAATAATTATTATATAGCCCATAGTGAAAAAATGTAGAAATTATGGAAGAAATTCATTTTGTAGAGCAAATTTAGGAAGTAAAATAATTTGTACATGGCTAAATTTTTATGTTAATATACACAAAATACACACCTCATAATCAATGTCCAAATAAGAAATATCTCCTTTCATGAAGAAATGATGCACGTGTTTGTCAACAGTGAAATTGACTTGTCTTCCAAAACGCTCTATGACAGCTGAATGCCATTGCTGGTCATCTAACAAGCTTCCCAAGGTGACATTAACAGGAGGGTTAAAGGTATGAAACTGTACATTTCCTTAAAGAAGAAAATATAAACTATTAAACTAGATTTACAATAACATGAGATATTACAGTGCTAAATTTAGTATGTTATTGTAGAAAATATAAATAGATAAAAAGTCATCTTCAGCATGGTCTAAATCTGAAATGTGAAAATATTAAATCATTTTTAAGTTCTGCATTCAATGGATAAATGTACAGTGGCAGTAAAGAGTGGATCTCAGCACCCAAAGTTGTTTGCTTGTACTCCTGGTAGCGATATGGTTAATAAAGGTCACCATAAAGGTGCCATTGCCCTGTGTCTGTATCCAGATTTACATCTGTAAACACAAAATGTGCTCTTATACATTGTTTTCTCTAATTTTAGTGATATTTGTGTGTGCTAACTTGCACAATAACACAAGCCTTCAGCATAGAGCTCTGTATTCATTTATTTGATTATATTACTTTCAAGTCACTCTTTATAACCATATAGTTAAAGCTGCTGCATGCTGGTGGGTATAAATTGTCATGTGTTTTTTTATATGTTTTTTTACCACCAAAATCATGAACTTCAGGTTAGTTGAACTTTGTCTCTGGGTCATATTTGGGTTGCATATCTTATACTTTATTTCTGAACCAAATGTTGTATAGTAAATGTTAATGGTAAAATATAGTACTGAAAAATGCAGATTTAACACATTAAGGTTATATAGGTGAACCAATTCCCTTAGCTGGGCCAGTTTGTACATAATGGGTATCTATGGATATTGACTTTTCTGGCAGCTGATTAGTGATGAGCTAATCAAGAAAAGTTTGGTTTGGTGGACATTTGCCAAACCCAGTGAAAAATCATCTAACCACAAATATGGTTCTAAACCCAATTAAGTCTATTAGAGACAAATCTTGCAATTTTTTTCTGGTCTTTTTCATGTCCAAATGGCAAGTTTCTTTTTTTTTTAAAGGGCATGGGTAGCTGGACACTGCCATGGGAGGTGGGACATATACTAATACATAAAGGTTTTTTTTTTTAATACGGCTTGAAGGGCAACATTAAAAACTCACATATCCTTTTAATAAAATGCTTAAGGGATTCCTTAAACCTACACATGGCGTTGTGCACCAGTACGATGTATTCCTGCAAAAGTGACATTTAAAAAGAAAAATCCACTGCCACTAAATTAAATTTTCCAGCTGGGTTTGTTCTGTTTGTATAACTTCAGTCAAAATATTTTTTGCTTTCTGTATACCATTGGGAAAATTCCCCTTTGCTTTCTGACCCAGAGACATAACAAGAAGTTAGAGTAAACCCCCAAAGTGAGAGGAATTCCTTTCTTAGACAGAGACCTGTGTCCCTGTTCAAATATTTCCCTTTACCTCTTGTTGCAGGGACAACTTTAAACTTTTGGATTTCCCTTGCTTTTTTATGGTGGCAATGGTCACCAGTACAAATAAATTAGTCAATCTTTCTAATGTGGACACAGACAGCAATTCAAACTTGACAGAAGGTTTAACCCTTCCCAATTCTATCCAAAACTAAAGAAAAAAAAGTTATGCCTAGAGATACATTTTAACATACTGTCATATTTCACAAGGGTCTAGTGGTTAGCTGTGTAGATGTGTCATTAATGTAAATGTTGTAGGACATGATACAAACTTACCTAGGCTAATTATTAACCAAAGTCTTCCTTTTATAAGTTCCAATGATATACGATCTCCATTTCGTCCTTCCCCATGAAGTAACATGCCATCAGTTTGCATTGACTTAAACTTGAGAGAAATTACATCTTTTGTTGTGCTCATTGACTTTTGATGAAAGCGGTACAGTACGGAGCTTTTACCATCAAGATAAATAATGTCTGAACCTGTTAAAAAATATATATATATAGTGAGCTCATGGTTTTAGTTTACATTTGAAAAAGGATACTGATTACAGAACTTTCAGGTCTGATGTTTACCCAGTTTGTCAAAGCTTGAGCTTCAGAATACAATTAAAATGAAATGCCTTTTAGTCAAGTATAAGTTCACCAAAAATTATAAATCAAGTTTAGGTAGGTGTCAGTGAGACCAATTTACTAAAAGAGCAGTAAAGCGAACACAGCTTCTTCCCATTTACTAAGCCATTTGAGCATACACTTTGTAAATGAGCAATATCTACTCATCTAGTAAGTCAACCAAAGTGTCTTCACTCAAACTCTAACCCCCCTCATAATATTTGATAAACTTGGAGCAGCTAAGCTTTTTACCATTTTCAACCACATTTTGCATGTTTACATAATGTCAAATGGCTTTTTGCAATGTTCACCGCGTGTCAAATGGCTACAGAATTCATAAATGTAGTTAAATCTGAGTTTATTAGTTTTATCTTTCAAAGAATTTAACAATAAAGACATGGTAAAAACAATAGTACAGTCTTGTGTCTATGTCGAATGGAGAGCAGTTTGCAAACAAACTGCACATATAAATTTAAATATTTTGCTCAACAGTAACCCAAAAATGACTAACAAGAAGTATGTAATATACAAACAGGTGTTTTCCAAAACCCAGGTTATATATGTACCAGTTGAACCTACGTATTCAGTTGGAACACTGGCGTCATGCAGCTTAAAGTTTGTATCCGGGAGTTTAGGTATGCCAGCAAAAATGTGAGGGGTTACTTAAAGGGGTATGAAAAAGTAAGAAGATGAAGAAGGAAAGAAATGGAGGAAAAAAGAGTGACTGTCCCTTTTTCCTCCTCCACCATAGCCATGCCACACCAGGCAATAACAGCTTATTTATATAGCATGTCTCAGAATTCTTGGGACTGGCGCAACATCCATCCTATTGCATTCTACAGTGACTTAGGGGTCTATTCACGAAGCAGCCGAAGGATCTAGCCGTAGCTTCGGGCGTTCCTTCGGCTAGCTTCGGCCCCAGGACCCCTTTGGTTCAGTTGAACCGAAGGGCTGCTGTACGGGCTATTCACAATAGCCCGTACAGCTCCCGAACGTAGCTGAGCGGCTCAGTCGAGCCGAAGGCATATGCCTCGGCTCGGCTGAGCCGCGCTGAAAGCC